GGTAAGTGGAATCATTTTTATTTCACTAAGCCTTGTCCCTTAGCCAAATGACACATTTGCATTTACATAAGCATGAATCACGGTTTGAGCATAACTGAATGTTAAAAAGGTTGTTTAAATTGATGAGCATGTGTAGGTTGATATCATTGTGACCATTCTTGCTTTGTAATGAAAGTGGCTAAGTGTTTAATGTATTCTTCCATCAAGTGCATTCTAGAATTAAGAACATGGACTTCATTTTGATTTATTGTTAGCATTTTTAGAGATATGAATTCCCAATTTAAAACCTCATCACCATGTTAAGTTTTTGTTTGCTTGATGGCAATCAAAAGCTAAGTGTGTGGGTGTTGATAGCTTGCTATATTAGAGCATTTTAGGCTGCATTTCATGTATCTTTTCCCTTGTTTTTGCATATTAGTTTAGCATTTTAGTCTCATTTGCACTTAGAATCAACATTGCATGCATATAGTTTAGGATTGTATACATTTGCATGTTTATGGTGTTTCTTAGGTGCTTTTAGAGGTTCTTGGAGTTTGGGGAGGAGATGGAAGCAGCTCATATTCGAAGAGATGCCAAAGAAGGAGATTTTCCAAGTGTGGTCCCATATCGAGATGAAGCATCGAGCAAAACCTCTGTGGAGTATGCCCGATGCAAGCCGTGGTGCGTAAAGAAGAGGACTACCTCGTGGATCCTAAGGCCTTGGTCTACATCAAGGTGCTGCATCGAGCAGGGAAAGCTGCACAGACCGATACGCGCTGCATGGACCATACTGGGGTGGTGAATCGAGCAAACATCGTCCGTACAACCCCGATATGCTTTATCCGCGTGTTTGACCAGATTTTCGTTGACCTTATCTTGTTTATAGGTTTTTTATCCTTCTTTTGGTTATTTACTATAAAGGAAAGCCACAAATCATTATCCTTATCTCATTATCCATTCTAAGCTTTTTTTATCTTGTTCACCACCTAAAAGGGCTATTTGCCTTAGATTTGTAAACTCTTATTTTCTTTAATCAAGTTTGCATTTTTATGGTTTAATCTTGTCTATTGATCTTTGGTTCCGCATCCTGGTAGCTTAGTTTCATTATCTTTGAATTTAATCTCATCTAATCATGTTTAACTCTATTCAAATGGGATTAAACATTATTAGTGAGTAGTTTACCTTAGATTTGAGGTTCTAAGTAGGGAAAGTGGAGATTAAGATGTGATTAATGGGTGATTAGGCTTGTTTAGTTTATTCTCTGTTGTTTCCTTCTCTTGCAAAGTGATTATTGTTCATAAAGCTTCTCCCTTTTGATTGAATATGGTATTGTTGATGCGTATGATTCACTTGATGGTTTGAAGTCTTATTCGTTGCATGATTCACTTATTTTAGCTTGATAGTTTAGCTTGGTCTATGTTTCCTTTGTTCAGTGACACCAAAGTGATAGTTCACCTTGCTAGATGATTCACTTAGGGCTAGATAATGCTTGTTATGAGATTCTTGCTTGATGGTTAGATAGTATGCATTGAAAGATCATGCCTTTGCTTAAATCATGTTGATTGCTTAGCATAGTTAGGTTTGCAATTGTGAGCTTGAATCTAAATTCTTGATTGGCTGAGTTAGCAACTTAGGTCCCTATATGGTTCAAAAGATTGATAGGTTTATCTGAATTCTTGTTTGAGTGAGAGATGTTTACTTGATTAGTTCATATTTAAGGCTTTATGGTTCTGTGCTTTTATGCTCATGGTTAGAGAATACACCATCAAAAGTGGGTTTGACACTCTAATTTTGTTGAATTGGGTTTGCCTATTAACCACTTGGATGATCTTTCCTTAGATACCTTGTCTAGGATTACAATATTGAGAATTGCTTGCTTGTTTGATGCTTGATGATTACCTTTGCTATAAATCCCCTTAGTCACTCTTGAAAACCACTTGACCATTATTGCTTAGGACTTTAGATCTTGCTTTTTATTAATTGTCTTAAAAATATTTTGCTAGTTTTTCTAGCTTAATTATTTTTAGTAATCATCTTGTTTAGTTTCATCTTGTTTAGTACTTGCTTTAGTTTCATCTTGTTCAGTCTTTGGTTAATTGCATTTCCTGTCCTGTTTTATCTTTCTTACATTGTTAGGTTGTTAGTTTGCACTTCCATAATCAAAACCTCTATCCTGCTTAGCTTATGGCATCGTTTGCATCTCATCATCCACAAATGTATTGACACCTCATACCTATACTACATCTGATTAGGACTGAGGAACATTGGTTACAAAGGCGTAAAAAAACCCTTGTTTCATCAAGCGATACATATTGTTTTGTGTTTTTTAACAGATTTGGAGTAATAATTAATAGGATGTTTATATTTGATTGGATTTTGGCTTTTGTGTTGTGTTTATGTGTTTTTGTAGCAGGTTTCAGAAATAAAGTTTGATATTGCTTCTTACATAGTACGTTTTACTCTTATTCTAACATTTAAAAAACAGAAGTGTTTTGTCACTGATGCATAATATATAAGTCATGCACATAATAATAATAGTTTAAAAGCTATATAGGATTTAAAGAAAATTATACAAATTATGCGAAATTGTTTAGAGAATTGTAATCTACTTGGTTATCAAATTTACAATAACCCTCACAGATTGAAAAAATTATTATAAAATTATATTATTGGCTTTCAATTAAAGATGATCTTCGTTCATATACATGTTAGTTTACTCATTTAAACTCTAAATTATTGTTCCTTTTTTGTGTATCTTATATGGTGTATTTGTGTCCCGCTTGATTTTCGATAATACTTTTCAAGGGTCTAAAATACAAGCTTCAATTGGAAATAAATACATTCACTTTTTTGAAGATCAACTTATTAAAGGTCAATGGAAGTTCTTGAGTAGTTTTATAGTTAAAGACTTCTAATGGTTTAACGTGTGTAGCAAGGTATCCTTTTAAGCTGAAGTACGTTACGAACATGGCATTTATTCCGGTTCGTGATCTTGGAGATAGTTTATTATTGTCTTTTGCTAACTTTGGGAATGTTCTTGGGGGCCGTCTGACGTCACGTATAGTACTGGTAACTACTTTGATTATGAATAATAGTATCGTTTATGTTAACGAAAAAACAAAATTTCTAAATGTTGTCTATCTATTTTTTAGATTTGATCGGTGTTCTTGTGAACGTTGGTGAGACTGGGGTTTTTGATGAGCAAAAAATACAAGAAGATTACGTTGTGGTTCCTTTTGAGCTTCAAGATAACAGGTAAGAATGTATTTGATTGTTATCTATTTTGTCATAATATTATCAATGTATTTGAGTGTTAGAAAGTTTGATTGAGTAGGAAACATTGTGATCCAATGTTATGCATTGGAAAAATTGGCTGAAGATTTTTTCATTGTGATGGATCCAAAATTGTCGTATATAAGTTGTTTGTGTTCTGAGGTGGTGGTATATCACTAAACAATATGATGGTATTGTAAAAATACACTAAGCTATGTTTGTTCATTTTAGTCAAGTCATATGTGTTGTCTTATGACCTATTGTTTTTATTCTTCGTATAGGCATTATAAATGTCATTGCAAAGAAAAAGTATTGTAAGTTCCTTTTTAATGCAGATATCACTGATGTTCATCGTTTTCGTGATAGTTAATATTATCATATACACGATAAATTATTTAGATTAATTATTTTATCTTTAATCATATTATGGATCTTATTATAGACTACAATATGATGAAGAGGTTTCGATTGCAAGGTGTGGTTCGAATGATCGATGAACCAGTTAATCTAAGGTAAGTCTTGAGAAGGAGATAACGAGTACCTCGTTTGTATTTTGGGAACGCTACTGGCCTTGTGTATTGCATGTATGTCACTTAGTCGAATGTATATTTTCTTTTTTGATAAAAACTTCTATGTATGCTTTTAACTGGATGTTATTCAGTTAGTATGTTTTTATAATTCTCTTTATTTGTTCTCTTTGAATGTCTGCCTAAAAGTCTTGGTATTTGTCTATTTATCTTGTTCTCTTCGCATGTTCTGAGTCTAATTGATAAGTAAAAACGAAAATTAGAAGAATTTGTTTCCATTTGCTAATCAATTTACAAATAAAACAATTCTAATCTTATTTATATATATATTTATCTTCGTCGCGTGAACAATTCAATCACCTTCAACGATAATTGCAACAAACAGATCTTTTAAAACTTCATCCAATAACGCATGGATTCTATCACCCTAAACAATTTACATTTTAAAATTGCACTTGTCAGTTCATAACAATACAATCAACAAACTCTAAACAGAATACAAAATGTATGAAACTATTTTACCTTATCATCAATCAAGATCATATTACACACACTTTTACCTTCAAAGAAAGTTGTGAACATATGAATTATTTTAACCCTAATATCAGATATAAGCATTGACGGATCAAGATAGACAATACCTAAAGAAACCATGATATATGCGTATCAAACAATGTATTTTTTTAGATAAATCAAATTTTATTTTTCTTATCACGGTTTCGGCAAATTAACAAATACAAAAATAATTCTGACAATTTCAGAGATGATTTATATTTATCTTTCGCTGCTTTGAGGAGACATTTGCAGGCAGTTTTGGTTTTTGCTATAAGATATTAATATACGAGAAATAGAATTATTCAACATTTGTATACCATTGCGCGGACCATCACCTAGTATTAAGTAATTATCATCAGAAGAAAAAAACAATATAAAGATTAGGGAGTTTATTTGAATTGAAACAAAACTGTTTTTAGATTCTTATTTTTTTTTTTTAATGGAAATGTTAAATTCATCCAATCAAAACCTGTTTTTGAATGAATGTAACTAGTGTTTGAGGTTACTTGTAAGAGAAGGAGCTATATCATTTTACAACAGATACTAGCCTTATTGATATGAAAACCAGATTTCCATGCGTGGTCACCCATTCTCCGTATGGTGGTGAGCCTGTTCCGAATCTGTTTGTCTATCTCAAGAAGCGATGTGAGAGGAGGATAAAGGAGGGTCGCCATGCTTCCTTCTATTCCGCTCTCTCCAAATTATGTGAATCGCCACCTGAAAAGCATACCTCAGCAAAAACGGAGTTATGGTATCCCGAGAGTTGTCCAAAAGAATCTGCATTATGCCTTCCCACTCAAAACTGAAAGCTTCGCATGTGAAGAAATGGTTAAAGTGCATAGATTTTTTTACAACATATTTTGGGATAATTTTCTCAAAACCAAATGGTGTCCTTAAAAACCCAACTTTCTCTCGCTGATACATCAACACAGACACAGACGTGCTATGTACTGAACAAAAAGAATTTCTCTAGCTACAATCACCTCACAACATATACTCGTATATATAATGTGAAGAAATGGTTAAAGTGCATAGATTTTTTTACAACATATTTTGGGATAATTTTCTCAAAACCAAATGGTGTCCTTAAAAACCCAACTTTCTCTCGCTGATACATCAACACAGACACAGACGTACTATGTACTGAACAAAAAGAATTTCTCTAGCTACAATCACCTCACAACATATACTCGTATACATATATAAATTGTACACAACAGACATTAGTATCACACCTCACATAAGGCTAGAATGTGGATTGTTGTAACCTTGAACCGAGCCATACGGTTGGTGCGGATTACCATTAGAGACAAATGGGTTGCCAAAGGGATTCATGTTCTGATGTTGTTGTTGTTGTAGCTGCTGATATGGTTGTACAGGTCCCATCATCATTCCTGAGTTCTGATACTGAAATGCATACGGTTGATGATTTTGATTCACCATTTGAACAGAATGAGGAGCTGTAATGCCATTAGATACAAAGAAAGGTTGGTGCATCATGGGACCGTTATGAACTGGATGCTGTTCCCACGGATTATGGCTCCTGTTTTGCTGTTGACTCACTCTGATTGCATCCTCGTATAGGCTGTCAAGTGTAAGCTTGTCCAATCCACCCGCCTTTTCAGTGAAATGACACCGGAAGAAAACCATATGTCACAAACAGACGACTTCTCACGCTGAATATAAGAGACAGAAAGAGTGGAGCTACTTACCAATTTGCTATTTGCAGCTGCACCTTCATTTGAGCTTGGGGCCGTCACAAGTGCCAATTCCCAGCCAGTCGAGTTCCCGTTTGTGAAATTGGCTGTCGGCTCAACTGGAGAGAAAAACCATCAAATAGATTCCGATAAGACAAGATGTAAGCAAAGAAATATCAAAATTGTTACCGTTAACAGGGACAATCGCCAAAGCCAAAGCATTCTTCTCTTCAGGTTCAGAGACAACTGGAGCTGGATCATCCATAGACTGACGGGAGAGAAAGTTGAAAAATCAGCAGCAGTATCAAGAAAACAAAACGAAACTCAAGGTTGGGAATAATTAGCAAATGAACAAATACCAGTAAATCAGGTTGTTTCTCTACAGGCTTCTCTGCTTCCGGTTTAACCGGTTCAGGTGGTTCCCGTTTCTCTTCGACAACCTTTGAGGGCTTTTCGTACTCGATGGCCAAAATCTCTTTGGGAGCAATAAGTTTCTCTACTGTCTGCCATTATCATAAAAATAAAGAAAATGGCTATAAGTTTGTTCATGCAGTAAGAACAGGATGGTTCTAAGATATTCGTATTTCGAAGAACAAGTAAAGAGGAAAAGATAAATAAATGAAGAACGTTAGATACTCTCGTACCTGTTCCTTCTTGACCCCTGCTGTTAATGGTGCTTCTTTCACATACTCTTCCATTGCTTGTAGAAAAGAAGTGGGAGGCTTCAAAGAACAAATGTATATGGTGAAGAAAAGGCTCGCACAAATAACCGAACTAAATATTAAAACTTGTATGAAAAAAACCAACCTCCTCAATCTTTATAAATCTATCTCCACGTCCAACATAAACACTTTTGCAAACTTCGAAAAATTCAGAAAGCCTCTCTGCCTGAGAGATACCAATGAAACCAACTATATAACGGCCCTTATGCCAAACAAAAAGAAACCACAATATCAATTAGAGATTGCCTATACCTGTTTTACCGCCCTTCTGTACATATCCAACGCCTTTAGAGCATCGTTCCGTTGCATCTCGAAGAACTGTCATCAAGGAAAAATCATAGTCGAATAAGTCAGGAAAGGCAAAAACAAGATATGCAGAAAGAATAAAGCTTTTGCGTACCTTATCAACCAAATTGTCTATGCCATCTGTTAGTGCTTGGTAGATTTTAGTGCTCTCAGTTACAACCTAGTTAGTGAGAAGTAGATTGAAAATTATAAATGCTGTTAAACCATATTTAATCGAGGAGCAATTAATACCGTATACTTTTATTATAGCATACCATTGAGAGTGCCAATTGGATAATATGGTTTTGAACAGCTGCTCCTTGAGGCTGCAAAGATACACCAATGTTCATTTCTAGTTAAATGAGTGTGAAATAGATATAAATCTTATACAAACACAAATCTAATGCAGATGGCTAATGCTAACAGAATCAACTCAAAACACAATGAAGTGATAGACGCTGAATTGGATCTATAACCTGACAATCAAGAACACGGAAAAGAAGTTCTTGTAGAGCTGGAAGTTGTTCGAGCAAATCAGGAGTGTCCAAATCTTTGGTTTTCTGTATTTAACAGCACGTTTTTGTTATTTCGAAAATGAAAGAAAACTCTGAGAACTCATACCAAAAAGAAGTTGGAAACATAAACTTACTGAAGGATCAATCTCAACATCGTACTTCAAAACACGGAAACACTCTAATCGTTCCTCTAAGAATAGAGCATAGGAACGCACCCAAGCAGAGTAATCCCATGCTGAAAATGACAGGTAAAAGAAAGATAAGTGAACCAACGGGCTTCCTCTATACATAGGATTCAACGAAAATAAAACCACACTAGTACCATTTGGACTAGAATCATCTTTAAAATGAGACATGTTAAGCATATGACTCCTGCTTCTGCTATAATTAATAACTTCTTCATGAAACGTTTGGTCCACTTCTCTCAACGCACGGTGAATAACAATAAGAGTTTTCAGTGCAACCTGAAAAACAAAAGGAGAATCAGCAGAAAGTACTAAACCTAAAGTCACGACCTTTTTCACAAATATAGAAAGAAAGGAAAATATCATTATTGACTTCAAGATCTTACACATCTAACAAAACAAGTATATTTAAATGCTGCTACAAAGGGTTACTACATATCTAGCGATTCCAGTTATCTGCAGATTTCTAATAAGTAAGGCTATAGGAACGAACAACCAACAAACTCAGTCAGAACATTACCGCCCAGTTATGTGTTTTCGATAACCGCCTTGCCAGAGCATGGATACAATAAGCCACATCTGCGCGAGGCCTTGTTGCTGAAATAGCCATGAAAATAGCTGCATAGGGGACACGAACTTGTTATACAACATTGTTGTAGAGAAGCCAATCGCACAAACAAAAACACATTTGCAACCTAAGACACTAACCATCTATATGATACTACCCACCTCTGATGTATCTTTCTTTCGAAGGACGCTCCACATGATTAGTAGCCTTCACAATAGCAATATCCAATTCCTGAAAAATAACCATCATAGCATTGTTTGTAGCTTAAGGAAACTACAAAACCTATTATAACTTAGAAGAGAGTGTCTTTTAACCTTGTAGTCACTATTGACTTTTGCTAATGAAACTGTTGTTGTATCCTTGATAGCTCCAAGATACCTTCTTAAACTGCTCTGTGATCCTGACATTTCGTTTCTCTCTTAATAGAAACCTGAAAAATCTTAAATCTTTCAGCGTTTGATGAAATCAAAACACCTATATGTCAAATTTTGTCTTCAGTCATAAAACCCTCATCTCACATAAGAACAGAAACATCAAATCTAACAAAACAACAAAAAGAAAAACCTTCTTTTTATGTAATCGATTCCTATAAGCCCTAAATTCAAGAATAATCAATAAGTTCAAAAACACTATGAAACACCAAATCAGTCCTAGAAATCTGGGTTTTGACATAAAAGAAGAATGATTTCGAGATCCGTAAGAAGACAAAATGAACAAAAGAAGACAGACCTGATCAAGGTTTCTTGTCAAAAGAACGAAATCCCAGGAAGAAGGAAGAGAAAAATCAAGAAATTCAACCGCTTCTTTAATAACGATTGGAGAAAGACTAAAAAGGAATATTAAGATGGAATCGGAGAGAGAGAGAAGGAAGGAGATGAGAGGTACAGAGTCAGAGTCCTCGTTGTACGTTCGAAGAAAGAGAACAAAAGTGTTTGCGAAAATGAGGTAAGAGCTAACGTGGTTTTGGTTTGTCCGTCGGCGGCTAATATTCTATTTTATTTATGCTCGTTTTAAGTAATTAGAAAGTCCATCGTTTACTTTTATGTTTGAAATTGGTCAATTCTTGGCATATATATATTCCACATTGCAATTCTGGATAACCTTAATAAATAAACTATGAATTCAATAATGCAAAAACAGATCTTTGAAATTAAAATGTCCAAGCGCCATTAATTGTTCTTTTTTCTAGAAAAGAATTGATTGAAGTTGATTATTGATGATCAGAACAAGCATTCATTTGTGATTATTCAACATTTTCAGAACTATTAATCACTCCATACGTATAACAAAATTTAATTAGAAAATACCTTAAATTACCATAAACCCAAGTTAATACAATCCAGCTAATTAGTTCATGTTTTTAAGATTTTAGCAAACGATTCGTGTCGACGCAACAACTCTGATGTTTGAGAGAGCTCGATTTGTAAGGGTGTGTATAGAAGTTAATCTCACCAAGCCATTGAAAGGAACAGTGTTAATCAATAAGGAAAGGTTACTTTGTGTCCTATGAAGGACTCACAACTATATACTCAACATGTGGTATGTATAGTCATCTCGTACATTCTTGTCCGAAGATGTTCAAGAGAAAAACTTGATTCCGGAGAAAATGGCGGCTGTAAACAATCAAAGTGTGATGGAAATTCATTGGGAATCAACACAAGATGAGGAAAGATCACGTTAGTAAGACGGTCGCGACAGACAGTGGTAATATTGCCAGAGAAACATACTTTAGAGAAAGTGTTTACAAAATAAGGCATTTGTCTAGACAAGCACACTCTCCAACGATGAAAAGTCATTTGTAATCCTTTTTTGTTATTTCACACTCTTTAGAAAATATTCTTATTACAGTTTTATAGCTCCGTAAATAATCAGTTTAGAACATTCATATTCGCCGTCGCCGTAAATATTCATTGACCTAATTCAATCCTTCGTCGCCGCACTTATCACCGCCGTTGACGATCACATACACCAGCCTCCTTCATAGTTCCTTGACTGCTACCTCCAGATAACAGAAGGCAAACCCTAATTCTGCAGCGATCCACGGCGAGCGGATTTGCCAACAGAGTTCTAACTCCTAATGGCAGGTAATCCCTCCTACATTCAGCTTTCTTATACTCGGCCTTTAAAAGTTTCTGGAGGAATTCGATTTTGCAACCACCATAACACATCATCCATTACTCATCCATCATGTGGGCTGTTATGATAACATCATCTCGGTTGTTCCCATCTTTTCTTACAGTTTTTAATGTGAATTTTTTGAAAAGCTCTAGTTTGTTTGTCTTCTTCAAATTCGTTAAGTTTATTTTATATGTCGATCTATTCGATTATCTTGTTTTTGATCGATCCGAGAACTCTTTTCTGGTTTTATTATCTCTGAATTTTGTAAAAACCAAACTGATTAGTATCTCTTGTCCTGCCCATCCACCGTGTAAATTACCATCCATTTTCTTCGAATTGTTGTCCTTAATTCTTAGTTAAACTGATTAATATCTGTCATACAACATATTGCATATATTACATCCATAACAGTTCATCCATATAGGAATTATTCATTGTACATCCACCTGTTTGGAGCATCAATACGTAGTCCATTTTGGACATCTGTGGACTGATTATCATCTCTCATCCACCAGTTTGAATAGAATGCATCCACATACTCCATCCATATAGGAAACATATAAGTTTCATCCATCTGGCTAGAATATCCACACAAGGCTTTTGTACGGTACCAGAACATCACATAAGAGCTTCCATGTAGTACATCCAATTGTTGCATCCATATAGAGCATCCATTCTGAGCATCCACTCTGAGCATCCACGCAGAGCATCCATATAGAGTATCCACACAGAGCATCCACAGCGATATCTATAATAGTTTCTCCAGATTAATGCATTACACTCATTGAGCTTAGCTTGCAATATCCATTCGTAGATGCAGTCGTAGTCACTGATATGCTTCAAATATATATTGTGCAGGTCCTGAACACAACAATGAATGGGAAAATCATCTACCTACACGTTTGTTTGCCACCGATAGATTCCCCAAGGCATGGTTCAACGTTTACTCCAAATCCAATCATCTCCTTTCCATCCACAACATCGTAAGAGACACTCCTGAGTTCCAAACCATTAGGGATTCCTGCTTTGGGCAACTATTCGGCCTGCCTACCAACTGGTGCGCCAACTCTTGCCAGCTCCTTCACGCGTTGATATGTAGACAGGTGCTGACCAAAAAAAAAATACGAGTTTTGGTCTGTATTTGGCGGACAACCTTTCAGGTTTTCCCTGCCAGAGTTTGGCAAAATTTCAGGATTGCCTAGTGGACCATTCCCTGATGGGTATGATCCTGACTATGAGCAATTAGAGGTTACTCATCCTGACAAGGCTTGGAAAGAAATCATAGACGATAATGCATTTGCCACTGTAGACGACGTTAAGGAGCTGCTCCAATTTGGCACCATTACTGACAGTGGAAGAATACTACGACTAGCGCTTATAGTTATTGTAGATGGTGTTATCATTGCTACCGCACAGCATCCTCGACCAACACCCAAATATGTATCCATGCTCGTAGACTTAGACTATTTCCTAAACTTCCCATGGGGGCGTGAATCATCATACGCACCCTAGCCACAATGTGGCCATGTATAACTTGGTTCGGTTCAGTTTCTATACTTCAATCCTATAAATCACTCTTCACGATTTACTTATTTTATACAGGTAAGAGGGTCGCCGGCAAATCCGAGGATCCAATTGGAACTTTATGCGAGAAGCTGAAAACTGGATCAATGCGGCTTCAAGGATTCCCTCTAATACTTCAGTTCCTTGCCTTCAAATGCATCCCTTCCCTCAAATCCTTACTAAAGCTTTCTGATGAAATGCCTACCCTCATGCAAACCCTTGGGGAAGAGCTACCAAAACAACCTCCAATACAAATGGATGATATCATTAGAGTTGAGAACAACCCTAAGGTAAACCTACTAATATTATTACCACTACTTTTTCTTGCTGTCTAGAATGTTCACAACTCATATCTAAACGAGGCTCCCGTTGTTTGCATGTAGCTTGTTGTCACTTCGACTCTCTCGTTAGAAGCCCTCGTCGACGACGGTTGGGGAGATTGGGATGATGAATCAAAGGATGCAAAGGTGAAGTACATGGTTGACCGGATCGACGATGGCGAAAAATTTGCAAAATCAGATTGGCCTGGCGGTGATTCATCTTTGCCTCTCCTTGTTGTTAAGCCCGTCAAACCGGTTGGATTTACGAAACACGTCTCCGCACGACGGCCCAACAAAGGCAAATTGGCAAAGATCACCCCACCTGCCTCCTCAACAAAAAATCCAACAGCCCGGCGCCTTAAAAATACTCAACTTTATATAAACGCAATCACACCCTAGGATTACGAAGAACAGAACGCATGGTTACTTTCACAGGTGAAGGACCTTACTGCCCAGGTGAAGCAGCTTCGTAGAAAAACTACCATACTAGAACACCAGTCCCGCGTTAACAAGCACCGCCTTTTCCGGACACCATGCAGACCTCTTTACAAGAAGAAACGAGTGGATAAACCGGAGCCATCACAGGCAATGTCCAGTTACGTACCCCTCGTCATCAGTTTGAACGACGACAACGACACCCCATCAAAATGGATGGCTACATCGGCGCCTACACGTGTCGGAATCTGCCCTCCAACGCCGGTCGACGTGGTACATAATACACTTCCTTGATCTTTAAATTTATCTGCAACTACTTATTGTCATATTTTTCATCCATTAGCTACCATCCATCGGTACCATCCACCGTTTTCATCCATCGCTTCGATGTATTCACTTCCATCCACTCGCTTTGCATCCATTCTCTTTGCATTCAAATAAGCATCAATGTCTTTGCTAACTATGCCACAACACTTCATATGCTGCAGGGATTTACTGCCTTTGATGAAGACCAAAACAACGACCACAACGAGATAACCGCAGATATCGTAATAATACACTTTCGCCATCTGTATCAGTAGGGCCTCTTACCACTAACCAACATACAGGTAGGTGAGGCAACTACTCAGAATTCCGCCAACAGTGACGGTTCAGCCTTCCTACATCATCAGTCCACTATCTCTCAGGTATCTCATCTGATCTTACTATAGTTCAAACGTAGTATATAATTTAACACTAATACAATCCTTTAACAGAATTTTGCAGAAGAAGTGTCTCACATCACGCCCAACACGCTTTCCCATCAGTCTTTCGTGGATGAACCTACCGACGTCACTTGGGCAGTTTTACAAGACCTGCGCAATCTTGCCGACACTGCCACCATCGTTGCTAACTCTTATGTGAGTTATCGTGCCCTTTTATTTTATCCCCTACATCTCCTGCCTTTAGCGTTGCTAACACTAATAGCTGCTGCAGGGCCCTCACCGACCCATCACTAGGGACAATGTCAAAAAAAGGACGCCTCCCAATACATCACCATCGCTACAACCGTTGGAGGTTCTTTTACGGTGCTCTCAAACTACTACCGTTATGTATTTGTTAATCATTCAGCTTACCAACAACATTCGCATCTGTGCAGCAGGTTACTCATGCGCAAGTCTCACCATCTACCAATACCGTTGACACAACCGAAGACCAGACTAAGGTACGGGTTCCACCCACAAACATTTTATTACTACCTCACCCCACAAACTCACGACAACAATTACGAGTTGTAGCTGCCCTCTCTACTCGTGCCTCCTACTGAAGATAACCAAAACGCGTCTCATCACGTAGCACCTGTGGTGGTAATGGTAAGTCTTTTCCTTGAAAGTTAGTTCATCCACGCGTTACCACCCAATTTCCACAGCGACGGGTTTCCATCCATTCTGGTTATCCACGCGTTTCCATCCATTCTGGTCATCCACGCGTTTCCATCCATTCTGGTCATCCACGCGTTTCCATCCATTCTGGTCATCCACACGTTTCCATCCATTCTGGTCAGCCACGCGTTTCCATCCATTCTGGTCATCCACGCGTTTCCATCCATTCTGGTCATCCACGCGGTTCCACACATATTGTTCATCGACGCGGTTCCACACATATTGTTCATCTACGCGTTGACAGCTATATTGTTCATCCACGCGTTGCCATCCATATTGTTCATCCACGTTATTCCATCCATATTGTTCATCCACGTGATTCCATCTATATTGTTCATCCACGCGTGCCATTCGTAGTTTGAATATACCGCTTCCATCCACTCACTTTCCATCCATTCTGTTTGTATCCAAATATGCATCACACTCTTCGCTAACTATACCGAAACACTTCATATGGTGCAGGGATGTACCGACCCAAAGGAGGTAACACTGGTTGCCGACGACCAAAACAACGACACGAAGGAGGTAACCTCAGACATCCTAACTATTCACTCTCTCCATCTTGGTCACGTACGCATCTCACCACCAACCAACATACAGGTAGGTAATCCAACAACACAGGATTCTGCCAACAGTGACGGTTCCCCCCTTTTATATCATCAGTTTGTCAGCTCTCAGGTATCTCATCTGATCCTAATATAGTTCAAACTTAGTATATAATTAAATACTAACACAATCCATTAGCAGAATTTTTCAGAAGAAGTGTCTCACATCACGCCCACCACGCTTTTCCATCAGCTTTCTGTGGATGAACCCGCTGACGTCATAGGGGCAGTTTCAGAAGCCTTCGCAACCTTGCCGACTCTGCATCCATCGTTGCTAACTCTGATGTGGGTTATCGTCCCCATTCATTTTATCCCCTTTATACCCTGACTCCATCATTTCTTACAATAATAGATGCTGCAGGATCCACACCCACCCATCACTACGGACATTGCCAAAAGAAGGAGGCCTCCCAGTCCATCACCATCGCTACAACTATTGGAGGTTCTTCTTCGGTGCTCTTAAACTACTACCGTTTTATACTTGATAATCGTTCAGCTTTCCGACAACACTACCATCTGTGCACCAGGTTACTCATGCGAAAGTCTCACCATCTACCAATACCGTCGTTATAACCGAAGACCAGTCTAAGGTACAGACTCCACTGCCAAAAATTATATTCCTAACACACCCCCACAAAACTCATGACAACAATTACTAGTTGCAGACGTCTTCTCAACTCGCGCCTCATACTAAAGACAACGAGGCCGCGCCTACCGCCAACCCCGCTGCACCCATGGTGTTAATGGTAAGTCTCTTCGTCGAAAGTTACTTCATCTTTGCACCAAAAACCATCCTAAGATATGTTCGCGTTTCCATCCATATTGTTCACCAAACGCATTTCCATAGATATAGTTCATCCACATACTACATGAGCATTGTTTTTCTATGTACATTTTCCATAATGTGCATCGATACTGTTCATCTCATGCATCCATCATATTGTTCATATATGCGCAATTATCCAAACAACATTTTTCAGCCATGCGCACCCCATCCATAATGTTCATCCAAAAACATGCATCCGTGTTGCTCATCAATGCACATGAACGCATCCATCCATCCTCGTGCTTTGCATCATCATTTACATATGCATACATCAATGTTATTCACCCATGCACATCCATCCAAATTATGCATCCATGGTCGACCATCCATATTGTTCATCCATGCACATCAATCCATTTTGTTCGTCATTCGCATCATCAGTTACGCCAAACTGTACACTAACTACGACGCAGGGATTTGCCACTTTCGCGTCGGACCAAACAAACGCCCCCAAGGCGGTAAGCTCCTTTAACGCCAGAACGACTGTTTTGTACTCTAAATTCACCATTATCCAGTCCATTGTACTAACACTTTATTCATACCTGCGTGTTCATCCATTCGCATCCATCCATATTGTTCATCCATTAGCATCCATCCATATTATTCACCCATGACCATCCATGCCTCGATCCAACCTCATTCTTCTATTCCTCAGTTGCATCAATCTACTAACTAACTACTACGCAGGGATTTGCCGCTCTCACTCAACAAGACAGCATAGATGCACCCACCAAAAAAGCGAAAAGGGTAAGGTTATTTCCTAACTCAATCACACTTCTTAAATCCCTTAAATAATAAAATAGATATTTCTCCACAGGGACATCGCAAACAAACTGAACTTTGCAACGTAAGCGACTCCTCGCCGCCCCCGAAACGAGAGCAATATGTCCCTACTAATGGCGAGATTCAGCTCGCTTCCCAAATCCGTTCCCAAGCTAAAAGAGACCATGGACATCTACTACCTTCACCCGACTCTACATTGTTTGACCTCTTTCACAAAACCATTATGGAGGCACCTTCTCTGTAAGCTCTTATACCTACTATCATATTTCACCTGCATTTACTACAACTAATGTCATTTTCTTCATTCCAGCCTCCACTGCACGCAATTGCACTTCGACTTTGACAACCAATTTCTCATAGATCTGGCGAAAAGTCAAGAGTGGGTGTCCACGCTGGTAAGCATCGAATATAATACATTAACTCCGAAAACAAATTAGTTCCTTTCAGCTAACACTTTTAATAACAGCATATGGAAGTCCTCATCGCGTGGCTAGCAAAGTGTCACAGAAACTTCTTTCGCGCCCAAAACATCGGCTTCATCTCACCAATGTTCATCAACAAAAATAAAGTGAGGTTTGATGAGAACATTAGCAAATACGTCCATACTCAAGGCAGTTGCTGGCTAGTCGACGTCCACATGCTCTATGTCCCCATGATTTGGGACGACGAGCATTGGGTTGGCTTGGTTAGTAACCTCAATATGAGTCTGATTGAGGTACTTGATCCCAACCCCATTCTCAAAGCCGACATGCAAGTTGCCAAATACCTGAAACCCCTACTCGAGATGCTTCCGTATATAATACGCAGCCTATGCCCAACAAGGGCTACCCAAGCAATACGGCTCGCACCTTTTACTTGGACGCGCAGCCATGACTACTACCATAACATCTGCTCTGGCGATTGCGGACCTGTCTCAATGAAGTTTATAGAGATACACTTATTCGGAGACCCATCTCCTCATATGTTTGGTTTAACCGATGAAGACGTCGACAACTTCTGTAAGCAATACGCCCTCGATCTTTGCAGGGATCTAGTACTCCCACTATATTTTGGACCCAATGTTTGAAAATGGTCTCTCCTTTTTTGTTAGCAATGTGCACTTTCTTTCCGCTTTCTCAAGTACAATATTTAAGAAGCTGTTAGGACCCATATGTTAAACGTTGTATCACTTTTGCTGCCAATCCTCATATTTTCCATAGATGACTTTGTCTACAACTCATCCATAAAGTGCTATCCATTGAATGCATCAATATGTTTCACACACAACAACACCGACAATTATATGCATCCATACAACTTGTACACGTATAAAACATCAACGGCCAC